GCATGCCCTTAACCCACGTCGTCTTGTAATATGCTTGGCTTCCAACCCTGTTTCCACCTCTGTAGCTTCCCGGGGATGAGGAGGCAGTCCACGTCACTCAGCTCGCACAGGGTGGGACGGTGGCCTCAATCCAGACTTTGCGCTGCAGAACCCACGGAGCCTTCCTGTGCCCCATGCCACATCCTTCTCTGAAGTGAGCCAGTGTCCAAGTTGCAAATGCAGGGTGGTGTCTGGGAGAGAGCCCGGAGCCTCCACGCCTGCCTCGGGCATCTTCCCCTGGGTCCCAGGGCTCTTGGCTGAGCCATGGGTTCCCCTGAGAGGTGGGGCCGGCGCTGACCATACCAGGTGTTGCAAGAACTCAGCCAGGGACCCGAGTGAACTCAACACTGAAGACCTTACTTTGAGAAGACAGCTTTGGAAGGTTCATGTTTTTGCTTTTCAGAGGGCTTGTCTAGGTGTGGTGGGTGGGACACAGGAGCAGTCAGAGTGTGGAGTAAATTGTTCCAGTCCCTGGCCACAAGACTCCAGCGTTGAACTTGGTCAACGTGGTGGAATTTTTTCAAGAGGAGCACGAGCCCAGCGCCAGGGCCTCGAGGTCAGGGCCCTTCGGGAAGCCCTCCCCAGAAGCTGGTCCTCAACTGTAGAGGGCCTGAGCCCTAGAAAACAGCTCCTGCAGCCTTGCTCAGGCCTGGGCCACTGCTCACGAAGGGTGCCGCAAGGCCTTGACAGTGCCACGCCTCCCTCTGGGCCTGCTGAACAGGTCTGCTGGGCTCAGGGTCTAGTAGGCACCTTGAAGAAGCCCCAAGCTGCAGAGCCAGACAAGATGCCGCCTCGTTACTGGGTATGCCCAGCCCAGGCCGCCACCCTGCAGTGGCTAGGGGGAGAAATGCGTTTTCCCAGGAGCCAGCCTCCTGGGGCCAGCACTCCCGGGGTCTGGCACTCCCAGGGGCCCAGCACCCCCAGGGGCCCAGCCCTCCTGAGGACTAGCACTCCCGGGGTCCAGCACTCCCAGGGGTCAGCGTTCTTGAGGTCCTGCACTCCCAGCGGCTTTGCACTGCACACAGGTCCTCCTATCACATCCTGGGAGGGCACAGCTGCATGGTCACACCCACACCCATTTCCCTGGGTAGAAATGAAGGCACTGAGAGAAAACAATGGGCCTGAGATGGGCTGACAGGAAGTAGAGTGGACCCTGGGTCCACTGAGGTGGGGTCCCACCCTCCCCTGCCCAGTGGGAGGGAGGTGGGAAATGTGTGATGTCCGGAAGCACTAGCGGTTTCTAACTTGGCTGTCTGAGCCCACTTGAGCTTCACGGGCCTATGCTGGGCACTGCAGGATTCATGTGATTAAGAGTCCTCCTTGCAGGGAGCTGACAGGTGAGCAGCGCAGTGGGACACAGCTGGGGCATTTGCGCCAAATCCTTGGAGCACCAAAGAAGGGAAACGGAAGATCTTAGTTGAGACTTTGGCATATAGGTTGTGTTGTGACGGAATTTTGGAAGATGGAGGCAGGGGACCACATTTGGTAGTAGTTTGATAAATTGTCGGAGCCGGATTCAACGTGGCCAGAATACAGTGTAGGTCAGAGGTTCTCAAACTTGAATGCACCTGTGAACCCCCAGAGTACAGCCCCAAACACCTGACTCTAAGAGTGGAGGTGTCATATAGCAGAGCCAGGCTCAGATAAAGCTGTTGGGGTGGCCAGAGCTGGGGCAAAGGATGCAGGCGTGGAGGGAGATGAGGCCGAGGGTGAAGGGTTGGGGAGAGGAGGTGCTTGGGAGGACTCAGCCGATGCTGGTGGCCTGCAGACCACCATGGTGACTGCCTTGCCTTCCCCGGCTGTCCCTCACTTCATCGTGCCTCTCAGGGTTAGGATTCTCAGTGATAAGCCAGAAACTGCCGATGGCTGCAACTGAAGAGGCGTTTTTTTTGGAAAGGTGGCGCATGGGCTGACCTAAGCTGGCCAGCTGGTCCAGCCCGAGGGAAGCCAGCAGCCCACAGCAGAGCCAGGGTGCAGGAGGAGGGGCGGGAGCGCCCACTGAACTCCCTGCCGTGATGATGGGTGTACTGTGCCACCTCCTGGGGCATTCCCTCATGGGAGCTGGCACTCAGCCCGAGCTGGCTGACGGAAAGCCTTGCCCACTGCCAAGAATGCCCAGGGGGAATCTGTAGAGCAGGACAGATCTGTAAGGGGCTTGCATCCGCTGCTGGCTCTGGGCTTCTCCCTTGGTCAACTCCATCCCTGCAGGACCGCAGGACGTGTCCTGTTGGCATGGTGCGGCCCACACACTTCTCCACTCCCTCACTCATCAAGCACTCTGGTCCTTCCTGGCGTGGTGTCCGCTGTCTGCTAGCAGAGAATGAGTGGTCTGTGTGGGGCCTCTGCCTGTTCTCAGCTCACCCCGTCACAGCTCAAGGCACTGGCTGTGTTTTTCTGGACATGGGGACACGGGGAGAACCTCAGCACCTCTTACAACCTGCTCTGTGCTGGTCGCGTGCTGGCCTCCAGGATCCTCCAGCCCGTGGCACACAGCACACGCCAGACACAGGCTGAGGGGGTGTTTCCGGCATGATGTAACAGCCTGCTTTGCAAGTGTTTTTCCCTTTTGGTCTCAGGGAGGTGTGGGGCGTGGGCATGAGTGCAAGCGTGGGCAGCAGGGTGGGTTGCTGCGCATGGTTGGGTTTTGCCCACTGGAAAGGTCGCCCCTTCACCCCCAGGAAGGGCTGGGGGCTCGTGCCTGGAATGGTTGGCTCACCTGTGCTATGGAAGGTCAGTACGTGCAGGGTTGGAGCCTCAGCACCTTAGCTCTGTGTTGCTCAACTGTCTAGTCTCCTTGAGGTGAAGCAAAGAACGCAGGATGCTGGAGGAGGAGGTGGGGGTACCTGCTGGGCTCCCCCTCCCTGCTGCCCAAGGTGGGGGCTCAGAGCCTGACTTCAAATCCGAGCTCCGACACCACCCGATTGTGACGGCGGACACATGACTGAAACCCTGTGCCTCGTTTTCCCTCTTTGCCAAGGGAAGGTGGCAGGGAGACCTCAAAGTGTTTTAGACGTGAAATGAGGAAATTGATGTGAAGTGTTTCCTGTAATTGCTGGCACATAGGAAGATCTTGATAAACGTAAGCAATTAATATAGTATTTTTATTGTTGCTTCTACTAATTGGCTTGAATTTTCCTTCCTTATTGCTGTTTTCAGGGGCTGGTCTCGACCTCCTTCCAAGAGCCAGCGTTTTAAAGTAGCGCATGGGGAAAGATGGCCAGGTACCGCTAGTGGGCTGCCTGGTCTGAGTGGTGGGTGGGGAGCACCGTGGGGGCTTGGCGACCTCTGGAGAGGTCAGCTCTTCCCTCCTCAGCCGCCCCTCTCTGCACGCTGCTCAGCGTGCCTCAGCTGCCCTCGGCTCACTGCCCCTGGTGCTTCACACTATTAACTCACTGGGAGGTGCCCTGCCCAGAAAGCAGTCACAAGAAGTAAAACAAAGAACCCAAAAGTATTCGAACTTTGTCACATAGTCACATGTAAACAAGAGACAAAGAGGGACAACCAGAGCACGCAGCAGCTTTTAGGTGACAGGTGCCAGCCAGCGCCTTTTGCCCGTGCACAGGTGCCTCCTTCCAAAGGCAGAGTGACACAGAGGGAGAAATGCCTTGCATCCACTGGCTCACTCCCCAGATGGTCCTGACAGCTAGGGCTGGGCCAGACCAAAGCCAGGAGCCTAGCACTCCTTCCACATCTCCCACATGGGTGACAGGGACCCGGGCCTTGAACTGCTGCCTTCCTGGGCGCATCCGCGGGCAGCTGGATCAGAAGCAGGGCAGGTGGGACTCAAGCCAGCACACAGATACTGGTACCTGCAGTCTCAAGCGGCAGCCTAACCCACTGGAGGAGTCCTACATCGAAGGCGAGTGAAGCTGCGTCTCCCGGCAGGATCTCAGCTTCTGCTTGCTGAACACACATGTGACCTATTTGGAAAATATTCATTTGGATAGGAAGGATATTTGCAAAATAGGGTGAGCCAGCTAAAAGTATCTCTTCCCCATCCCCTCAAGGGGTGGCTGTACACATGCCCACCTCCTGCCACTGGCCTGGGAATTAATGAGATGCCCCTCCACACGCAACCCAGAGTCTCTAATGTCACCCCAGGTCTATCTTCCAACTTTGTCCCAAGCTGTAATCAGCATAAATGTAACACTGAAGAGATGTTTGTTTTGTAGAGGAAAAGAGTAGAAGACGAGTTACAGGTCAGCCACGTGGGAGTGTGTCAGAGGGACTTGAGCCAGTTCCCTGAGCCCTGGTGCCACGCTTGGCCAAGTCCAGTGCTAAGTCCCAGGGTGGTCACTGTGTGGCCCACACCGTCTTACCAGGACCACTTCTGCGCACTTGAGATCAGCTTTGTCACTGAGTCAGTGTGCTTGCTTTTCAGTATCAGTGAGGTGGGTATTTGTCACAGCAGCCGGGGCACAGCCACGCCCTAGGTCAGAGTGCCTGGGTGGAGTGCCAGCTCCTCTGGGTTCCAGTGACCTGCCTGAGAGCAGCAGGTGGTGGCCACCCACGTGGGACGGAGACTTGGATGGAATTCCTGGCTCCTGGCCCAGCCCTGGCTGCTACAGAGGCTTGGGGAATGAAGCAGTAACTGAGAGATCTCTCTGCCTTTCTAATACATGAACGAATTCACGAGAGGAGTTACTTAAATAGGTAACTGCGGTGTGTGAACAGTGGCTTCATTCAGTGTGTCCATCGAATCACACCTGCAGACTTTCTCTTTTCAAGTTGGTGTTACAGGATCCTGCGGCTTTGTCAGGTGCGATGCTGGGAGTCCTCAGGTGCGGGGAGGGGCTGTCTGGATTCACGGCCAGTCCGGCGTGGCTCTGCGGTGACGCGGGCTTCCTGCTCTTCTTCCTACATGCGATTCCTTGTTCTCTGGTCCCCTGGTCCCTGGTCCCTGACGTGTTTGTCCCTGTGGGGCCTCTTTAGAACTCCTTTTGGCCAGTGTTCAAGACTTGCTTTTGCCGCTGGATGAGTTTGGTTCCTGTCTCAGGTCACAATCTTTAGTTGTTGCTCAGGATGCGTCCCTAGCAGGACAGACTGGACATTCAGGGCAGCTTGGGCTGCCTTCATTTTCAGCAAGGAGAACGCCCGAGTTTGCTGCCGTGAGCCCAGCAGCCCCGGTGAGGTTCGCTGGCCACCAGTGCACCTTGCTGCCAGCCCAGCCCAGGAGCTGCCCTGCCTCCTGTGGTCCTTGGTGTCGCCATGTTCCCTGTCTGCTCCAACAGGTCCCGCCGACGGCACAGTGACACCACTCCCTGCTTGAGGTTACAGGACTGGTTTCTTAGCTCGGTGGCTGTGAACGCCCTGCGTGTCCCAACCTCAGAGCCCTTTTATATTTACACACTGACTCCAGGATGGAAACTTTGAAGACGTTGCAAAGATCTGTCCAGATTTTCCAAAATAATCAGCATTTTAAAAACATCTTGTTCTATTGTGAGGCAGTGATGTCTCTGCCAGTTCCTGGTTCAAAAAAATACGATCACCAATTTAAAAAAAAAAGATCTGGGTTTTTTTTCATATTAGAAAGGCAGATTTACAGAGAGGAGAGACCAGAGCTGTCTTCCATCTGCTGGTTCACTCGACCCGTGGCAACGGGCAGAGCTGAGCCAGTCGGGTCTCCTCCATGGGTACAGGGGCCCAGGGATTTGAGCCATCCTCCTCTGCTCTCACCATCTGTAAGCAGGAAGCTGAATGGGAAGTAGAGCAGCCAGGACATGAACCGGCCCCATGATCATCAATTTTTTTTTTTTTTGAAATATTTGTTTGAAAGGCAGAGACAGGAGAAGGGACGGCAAGGTGGGAGACAGAGGGAGAGCTCTTCCGTCCACTAGCGGCTCTCTCCCCAAATGCCCACAGCAGCCAGGGCTGGGCCAGGCTGAAGCCAGGAGCCTGGAGTCCATCCTACCCCTCCGTGTGGACGGCAGATACGCAAGCCCTTGGGCCACCTTCTGCAGAAGCAGAACAGCCAGAACTCAAATAGGCACCCAGTGTGGGGTGCCAGCCAACCCCTCAAACAGTACTTAACAATGCCATTGAGACTCATGCTACTGTCAGGAGCAGATATACAAATATCATAATGTTAATGTTATAATACTAGTAAGTCCATGGAAGAGAATGTGAGAGAGGCCAGTTCTGTGATGCATCGAGTGAAAATTTCCACCCGGGACATGGGGTCGCATCTCAGAGCACCGGTCTGAGTCCGAGCTGCTTGGCTTCCTGCGCAGCCGACCGGCCTGGGAAGCAGTGTGTGATGGCTCAAGAACTTGACCTCCTGGCTTCTGCCTGGCCCAGCCCTGGCTGTAGTTGTGGTTTACTGGAGAGTAAACCAGTGGACGGAAAAGTGATCTCTCATTCTGCCTTAAGTAAATGCTTTAAGGAAGAGAATGCAAGACCCTGGCATTTATAAAAGGAAAATGCAGTAACAGGGTTGCACATGTGGTGGTGCCAAGCTGGTTAACACCGTGCGGGGCACTGAAAACAAAGTTTTAGAAGGTATCTTTTTTTTCTTCTTACCAAACAAATCATTTGTGACTTAACCAGTTTCTACAAGTTGGTGTCTGCCTTAACCACCTTAATCAGCAGTGGACAGAAAGCCGAACAAGCTCGTTTCCAGATGACCTGTCACGGCCACTCCGGCTTGAAGGGCGCACAGGGACCCGGAACTTGGGCTCATGTACCTGTTTTTGCCTCATTTCAGTTTGTCGGGAGACATATCTTTGTAGAATCACCCCCCGGCATCTGAGTGATGGCTGGATCTGAGATGACAGGAGTGCTCTGGCCAAGGGCATGGGGTTGGTTTTGAAGGAGAATTGTGGGAGTTCACAGGAAGGAAGAGGGTGGCCCTAGCAGAGGCCACCCCACCCCAGGCGTGTGCGGAAAAGGGCGAGGCTGTTTTTCTGGGGCAGATGAGGAACTCAGGTGAGTGGGAAGTGAAAGCGTTTGTGAGAGTGCGTGGTGGGGAGCCCAGGAGCGGCGGTCACGGAGCTGGAAGCGCTGTGAAATGAAAGGGTGTTGGGCAGACATGATCCTCAGGGTCGGAGGCTGCGCTTGGAACCCTGGCAGAGCGTGCCCGTGGAGTAGGGGCGATTCTGAAGGAGCACCCCTCGACCGCAGAGCTCACGTGCCACAGAGGAAAGGCAGCGGTCGAAGGGGCTGCCCAGGACGGCTCCTGGGCTCAAAGGGGTCTGTGTTTCCAGCTGTCTCTTCTGTGTAGCCTGTGCAAGGACACGTTTGCGAATGTTACGCAATGTGCTTTCGAGAAGCCCTGTCTCCCTACCTGTTTTTTTCTTTGTGACCTGTTTGCTGGTAGTTGAGATAAAGGGTGCCTGAGTCACCACTTGGCCCTCCTAGGTGATCAAGCATCCCCAGTCTCTGGTACATACACACACACAGCTGTGTCCCCTGGATTTGTGGGACTCCAGACGGCAGCTGGCCAGCCTGCCCCTCCCCATTCTCGGTCCTGCTTGTGTCCCTGGGCGTGTGATGGGGAGAAAGACATGGTGCTCACAGAGCAGAATGGTTACTATACACGTGACCCTCCCATCTGATGTCGGCCTGTTAATTTTTTATTCCCCAGTTTAAAAAGAAAAATTTGGGCCTGGTACGGTAGCCTAATGGCTGAAGCCCTCACCTTGCATTCGCCAGGATCCCATATGGGCGCCGGTTCTAATCCCAGCAGCTCCACTTCCCATCCAGCTCCCTGCTTGTGGCCTGGGAAAGCAATCGAGGACGGCCCAAAGCCTTCAGACCCTGCACCCGAGTGGGGAACCCGGAAGAGGCTCCTGGCTCCCAGCTTCAGATTGGCTCAGCTCCAGCCATTGCAGCCACTTGGGGAGTAAATCATCAAATGGAAGATCTTCCTCTTTGTCTCTCCTCCTATCTGTTTATCTGCTTTTCCAATACAAAATAATAAATATTTTTTAAAAAACAAACAAGATTTATTTATTTGAAAGCTAGAGTGAAAGAGGCAGGGGGGTGGGGTGGAGATCTTCCATCTACTGGTTCACATCCGAAATGGCTTAAAGCCCCAGGGCTAGGCCAGGCCGAACCAGGAGCTTCCTCCAGGTCCCTGGGGTGTGGGTGGCAGGTCCCTGACCAATGCTTTGTCTCCTGTATCCCAGGCTAGTTAGCAGGGAGCTAGATTGGAAGTGGAGTAGCTGGGACCCCAACTGGCTCTCCGAGACGGGATGCTCATGTTCCAAGTGGTGGCTTAACCAGAGGTACTGAGACGTAGCCCCAGTTTCAGGGCACCTTTAAGACAGGGCATTCTAGGAGAGACCCCTCAGCGTGGAGTGCACCCATTGTTCCCTACCCCTCTCTGCCGTCTGTGTGTGGCCCATCTCATGCCCAGCAGGTCACGTGTGCCACCAAGCCCCTTGTTGTCACCCTGCGCTCTGAGCAGCTCCAATACAAAAAAGGTAAAACAAAGAAAAAACAAAAGAGAGATAGGAGCACAGTAAAATAGTATCAGAGTTGTACAGATGAGTGGCCAAGAAAGACTTAAATACCACAGTGAGCAAGGTGCCTGGCCTTGGAAGGACAGAGGCTGGCTCGTGGCGGTGGCTGCTCCGGGTTGCAGCTGCTGGTGGGAGGAGAATGGCTGGGTTCCAGGGGAAGATCTGACACCAGTGTGGGGGAGCACGGCTGGGCGCTGTGGGAGGGGGTCTCTGGGTGCCGCATGCACTCTGCTCCAGCTGGGCGTGGCTTCCCACATGTGCAAACATGCGATTCCTGTCGTGTTCAGACGCTTCCCTGGTGGCATCGGAGGCATCGGGGCAGATTTGTGGTTTCATAACAAAGAATGAGGCAAAGCTGTCAAAACACTGTGACTAGTATGTGTAATGTAGTATGCGCCAGGCATTGGGCGCCTCTCCCCCTCTTTCTCTCCCTCTCTGTTTCTCTCTCTCTCCCTGCCTCCCTCTCTCTCTGTACTATTCAGCAGGACAGGGCTTGCACCAGGTCACCTGCCAGGCCCTGGTGATTCCTAATCACAGGAGCTTCTCTTTTCCTGAAAAGATTAAATCAAAAAGAACAAAGGATGGGATATACTCGCAAATAAGTAATATCCATAATGTGGGAAACTTTTTTAAGAAAAGGAGACGCATAGACTCAATAGGAGAGGGGGGAAACCAGACAGTTTTGCAAGGGGAAGAAAGCCAATCATAAATAAAACTGGAATGAAAAAAGGCTTTCAGGTGTGCTTTGTGTCCAGCCGTGCAAGTCCAGTGCCACGCTGGCCTGCTTCCACTGTGCCAGCATCTGTTTCTACAGACGCCGAGAAGCACTGACTGCGCGCACTCCTCTGTCCCTGACTCGGCTATCCAACTTCGAGGAAATTTTTCTAAAGAAAGCAATAGCTAGGGATGACATGGGGCACAACTGTGTGGCATTCCAGTTCCCCTTTCAGTCCCAGCTTCCTGCCCATGCCCGCCCTGGCAGGCAGCAGAGAATGAACGGCTCAAGAGGTTGGGTCCTGCCACCCTCCAGCGAGTCCCAGACCTGGGTTCCAGGCTCCTGGCCTTGGCCTCTGCCAGCCTCTGCTGTTGTAGACATCTGGGGAGTAAATTAGCAGGTAGAAGATCTGTCTGTCTCCGTGCCTCCCCTTTTCAGTAAGAAGAAAAATAGATTGTAAATGGTGGATTTGTCTGACTGAAACAGGAACCAGAGATGGAGAGACGGAGTGCTTGGGTGCAGGTGGCAAGGAGGCTGATGGGCGGCAGAGGAGCCAGGGCAGGGAGCAGCCAGTCCCCTGGGATGGAGCTGCCCAGGAAATGCCCAAGTGCCCACCCCTAAATAATAATTTAGAAAGAAAATCAGGGATATGGGACAAGAATTTTGTGTAAGGTGGTTGTGTCACCAATAACACAGTCATCCGTTATTACAAAGCAGCTAAACAAATTCTAGAGCACCAGTACACTGTAATACACAGTCATTCCAAAATTCATGGTCAGAGTGGAAATAAAAGCCGGATTTTGATTTTTTTACATTGATACACATTTCCATGAGCTTCTGAAAACCTTCATTAGCAGAGTTTAAAAATTTTAGCTCTAAAATAAGCATTAAAAAATTTTTTTTTGTTTTATTTGTTTGAAAAGAAGAATTAGAGAGCAAGAGAAATCTTCTGTCTGCCGGTTCACTCCCCGAGTGGCCTCGTGGCCGTGGCTGTGCTGGGAGCTTCTGGGTCTTCCGTATGGGTGCAGAGACCCAGATACTTGGGCTATCCTCTGCTGCGTTCCCCAGGTGCACTGACAAGGAGCTGGATGGGAGCTGGAGCAGCCTGGACACGAACCCGTGCCTCTATGCAGTGCTGAGATTGCCTGGCCCCACTAAATCTGAAATACTCTTGCACAATATGGTGCAATACCTTGGGAGTCTGCAATGCATGTTTGTTTACAGATTTTGCAAGGCAGAGAAACCGAAGCAGACAGATGAATCTCCCTGAATCACTGAACTGCCAGGCTGGGCCAGGTCAAAGCTGCGAGGCAGGAGCCCAGTCTGCATGAGAAGCAGAGATCCAGTTCCTGGAACCATTACTGCTGCTTAGTGGGGTCCTGGTGCCCTAGCCCAATCTCTCTGACATGGGTTGAGCTGTCTAAAGTGGCGTGTTAATTGCTTTACCAAGTGCCTCTTTTTTGATTTATTTATTTGAAAGAGTTACAGAGAGGAGAGGCTTCCACCTGCTGGTTCATTTCGCAGATGGTCACAAGCACATCTGGGCCAGGCAGAAGCCAGGGGCCGGGAGCTGTCCCCAAGGTCTCCCATGGAGGTGGCAGGGCCCAGCACTTGGGCCATCTTTTGCTGCGTCTCCTGGGCCATTAGCAGGGAGCTGGATCAAAACTGGGGCAGCCTTCCCTGAGCCAGTGTAATGCTCAAATGAGTGGAAAACAGAAGTGGGGCGACCGAAGTAGAAGCCAGTGCCCTACGCGATCCCATCATTGCAGGCAGCAGCTTGGTCCATACGACCTCGATGCTGCCCCTCCTGTAGGACTTTGGAAAAACAAGACCTATGGGGTCGACGTGGCTTTTGTTAACAGGTATGATCTGTTCCCTGCGGTGCCAGCGTCCCATAAGAACACTGGTTCAAGTCCTGGTTGCTCCACCTCCAATCCAGCTCCCTGCTAATGGCCTAGGAAAAATAACAGATGGTGGCCCGAGTGCTTGGGCCCCCGGCACCCACACGGGAAACCTGGAGGAAGCTCCCGGCTTCGGCTCTGGCTTTGCAGCCATCTGGGGGAGTGAACCAGTGGCTGGGAGAAATTGCTGTCTTTTTCAAAATAATAAGTAACTAAATATTTTGAGAAAAAGAGGGTTTGTGTGTGTGTGTTTGTATGTTTGTTTTACTAAGCAAAGGGAGCGCAGTTGCCACCCAATCAGTGTGAGCCCAGCCTTGTAGAACCATTTGCACGAACATAGAAATGTGCCCTAGGAAGAAATCTGGCTTGGCACATGGGCAGTGTCACCCCGGGGGTGTAGGGGGCACCTGACTGGCTGGCTGACTTTGTTTGCTGTCTTCATTTAACCATTTCCTGGACATTTTCTGTACTGAATGTTACTTTTATGATCCACCCCCCCCCCCCAAAGTATTTTAAAGTCTTGCCTAACACAAAGTGAAACAAAATGTCAGTGTAAGGATCTTTGTGAACTCTTCTCCCTGTCCCCAAAGGGTGGGAGTTGCTGGTTCACAGAGATGTGGTCACCCCAGGGGGCCCTTGCAAAGTCTGAGCACACTTCCCCACACTTCTCTCTCCCCGGGGCAGAGGGAGGCTTCAGACACGTGGACACGAGGTCGGAGACTCCAATTTGGGAGACTTGTTTTTGGAATTTCCCACACAG